ATACAATAGGTCTTTCCACAGACAGAATAGTGGAAAGACCTAATTACCACATATATCCTTGGATGAATGTACTCAAATGTAGAACTGTAAAGTCTCATGGAAGCAACTAAGTCATCTATTGTTCAATAAAATTTCCAAATTAATCCAACTTGTTTAAGATTGAATAGAAATTTATTGAACAATTGATGGCTTTGGACTAACATGCTCTCCAAAGCTGTTGGGCTAGTTCTCTCCCTGCTACTTCAATGCAGATCAATCATTTATATTTAAAGAATGACCTTAAGCAGTTATGAACTTCCGTTCTCTCTCGTGTTAGCCTTAAGTGATCAATTGTTCAATAAAATTTTAATCTTCAACAAGTTTCGATAAATTTTAAAATTAAATCATATTCATCTACATTGACATCACAATAATTGTCCTGTGTCAGTTCACTAAGTTTTATAGCAGCACTAGTGTAAATGTCCACGTCTCCTTTAGCAAGTGCTTTAAAATATGTTTTTGCTGTGTCTAGCCTACCCGTCATCTGAGCTGCTATTCCAAAAAATATCAATGATTGACAACATAGCCTGCTCATTGAATTTCCAGAAGGACTTGTCTCAATAGTTGCCCATGATATCTGTTTGATAGCATCTATACATGAAAATTGGTCATGTAGATGGTAGCAACACAAAAATCGGAGGAAATATGCATATACTAATGGATGAAAATTGCCATCACTTTTTATAACATCCTGTTGTAATTCTTTTGGAATGATTTGCGACTTACATGAAAATTGAGCATAATTAATTGTTGATGATTTTAAGATTGTTATAAGTCTTTCTTTTTTCACCAAATCGAGTGCAGCTTGCTCTTTTGGTGTCACATACGTCCTTCTGTGAGTTGAATGATTTGAAAATATGTTATTACATTTTTCGTCTGTGTATTTTGATATAGCATAATTGATAAGTTCTAAAGATGTAAAGTAATGTTCATGAACATAAAAGAAAGTGGACAACATAGACCATCCTGCTACTGCATCTGAATGTAAACCTATCAACAGACGACTGAGGTCATATTTGTACTTATAGTACTGTTGTTTATTATTTTTTTGTTGTTGAGCATATGGTATTTGTGGTACATACTGATGTGCTCTTGATATAAAGTAAAGAAAAAGCTCACGTGACAAATCTGTTTTACAATGATGAAGCAGACGATTCAGTAGTTGAATGAGACCTCTTTCATGATATGAATGAGGCAAACACTTTAAGATTTGTAATACATCATATACTAATCTAGGAGTCATATTTATTTGTTTGATTGTATATGTATCAGTTGGATATCTAGTGTAATCATGTAGTGTTTCAGAGGCCGATACGCACTGAATTCCTTGTTGATATAATTTTTTGAGTAGGTTGGTCAACTTTGCTTTTTTTTCTAACTCTGTACTTAAACGCAGTAAAAAAAAATTACAGTCAGGAATGAAATAGTGTAACAATGTTGAATATTGTATACTATATAAAAGTCTGTGCAAGCATGCCATGAAACAATTTGTAATATTGTCTGGTCTCCAAACAGCAGGATCTGAATCATCAGAAATCCAAAACATCAAAGTCTTTATGTAGTATGAACACAGTAAACCTTTCAAATCTTCATCCCCTTCAATTATCTCTTTCAGGACTATTTTTAGCAAAGCATAACATAGTAATTGAGTATGATTGAAAGAAAATATAAGTTGTTTTTCTGCTACTGAAAATGATATACGCCATTCCAAATCCTCATATATTGACCCCTTACTACCAATTGGAACAAACAAAAAACCAGACATAGTTATTTTAGAAATTATCTCAGGTGTAAGCCATGATGAACGAGGTCTATTGATCCATTGTGCTGCTTGGGAAATCCATTTGTCACATTTAAAGCACGATGCAAGATCATAATCACCATTAACATCTGATAAACATGGACCATGAACTTTAGTTAACCAAAGTTGAGTTATCCTTGGAGATTTTGAAAGGTTCTGTTTATATAGTTTATTTGACAAAAGATACTTCATTCGATGTGGCTCTACTATATTTGACAAAGGAAACATCTTTCCATGTTGCTCTAACATTTCGCTGAAAAATTTCGGTGGCCTGTTATGTGTATACCGGTGTAGATTTAGATGTGTAAAACATGGCTGTGTGTCTTCTGTGTCAATCAATAGGACTGGAGGCCTTCCATCTACAGCATCTTTTTCAGATTCATATACTTTTATGTTAGTATCAATTGTCATAATATCAATGTCACTACCTTTTAAATCCAGTCCTTCACTTCTACTGCCACTACTTATGTAGGTGTTAGTGGTAGAGTCCATAGCTATGAAAGTTAATCTCCTACCCTTCACTACTTTCTCAGACCCAATCTTCTGACATAGATAGTCATAAAAGTGTAACGATTCTGATCTATTTGCCGACATTATCAGTCTTCTTGCTGAATATTCTGTAAATGATTTGCTGTTTTATCAGGAGTACCTATCATCTGAAAATGAAATGATCTACTTCGATTATGACTTTGAATATTTTTACCTTTTTCATAGAAATGTATTTAAGGAGTCAACAATAAAGTGTAATGTAATACATCACCCACAAAAATATATATGTATCCATAGCTATAGTATTATATGGAATATATTTATTCGATTTGAAACCTTTTTCTTTTTTTTTTTTTTTTTTATTTATTATATTTTATTGAAATCTAGTTGAAAAACATCAAGTACCGGTACCTTATCCCGGCCTCGTTAACATTAGTAAATAGCATAATTATACAGCTGTTAGTTTTTGTTAGTATTATACATATAATTTTCCATACTTGAAAAAATTATATCCATGTCAGTAATATTAAAAAAGAAGTTTACCATTAAGATTATCAAACATAATTATCTAATATAACAAATGCACAGGTTATGAAATATATATAATATGAGTTGTTTATTAAAGTAGTAAAATATAAAGATATATAAGATATATATTTTAAGTATGTCTGTAGATTATTTTGAATTCAAAATAATGAAAACAAAAACAAAAGCAAGAAACAAAAATTAATTAATAAATAAAAATTGAAAGATAAATAATCAGATGAATTTCAAAACCCTTTTCTTGGCAGTTTGTTCTGTCTGAAACTCATGATTCAAAGGGATGATTTTATAACAGAAATAGGGTTTTATGATAATTTTACATGTCCAACAGAGAGACATATACCATAATAAGATAATTTACTTGATGGGTGTTTTCAAATTACAAGATGTGGTGTCTATAACATAAACGGTACAAATTAATGCACAAGATGAGCAATTAATGTCTCTTCACTGACTGTCGAGGCCAAAATATATAAATGTTGAAGAGCTGATCAAATCAAAAAGAAGACCAAAATCTGTACTAGGAATTGGAGCTTTGCATGGGGGAAATATATTCCTTAATATGAAAAAAAAAAAAATTTCAGCAATTAATGTCTGTATTTTCATATTTTCATGCCAGTACCAAAGTAATGTATTCTGGGATGGTTACAATATAGTCAAACTTAGCTAATGATATGATGAATGCTGTCTGAGTGCCCTGACATGGACGTTAAGCTTTCAAGACAAAATCTCTTGAGTTCTAAAAAAATATGTCTGTGAAACTTAAATCTCAAATTGGTCAAGAAAGACCCCTGTTGATCTTGAGGTTACTAAGTTAAAGATCAAGGTCATTGCAGCTATTGCTAGACTGAATTGAAAATTGGGTTTACGGATGATAGATTTTCAACCATATATTAGACCTACCAAAATAAGCTTGAAGATGCCCTTTGAAAATATTCATATTGCTTATAGGGTCAGTAGGCCAATGGTCAAGGTAACAGTGCCTATAAGAAGGCAAAATATTTGAGAAATCTTTGAACTTTAATCTATTTTTGAACTGTTTTTGATTATTAATGTACATTGCGATAAAAAAGACCTGAATTTTTAGGTCACTTAGTCAAAGGTCAAAGTCACAGTAGCACCCTTCACCAGAATTGCGTGAAGACTATAAAGACCATGCTAATTTTACCAATATTTGATAGATGATGTGCTGTGGATAACATAAATCCTAGGTCAAGAGTAAAGAGTTACAGCAGCTATTGATAGAATTAAATTGTTATCAGACATAACAGTCTCCATTATCAAAAGAAAATCAATGAAAACATTTGAAGATTAATTAAAAAGCTTTTCATATAATAGTTCAGTTTGAGCTAAAATGTTTTCATAAAATTCCTTACTTGGAAAGTGTCTTTAAAAGATCATGTGCTTGCAGCTTTTAAAAATGCAAATACTTAATACTATCCTTTCCCGTATAAGGGTGCTGTGAATCAGAGGTCAATGCTAAAAAAAAATAAAAAAGATTTGTTAATTTTATGTACATTCAAAACTCCCCTCTTCATGCAATAGTATAAAACATTTGACTTTCCTTCTTTTTACAGTAGCATTCTCAATTCTAAACATTTAGACAGATTGAAAGAACTGTTCCAACTTTGTTTCATAAAACATATGGCCTATGCAGGAGCAAATATCATATTTTATGATTGGACAAATCATACTTTAAAATAAACACTATTATTCCAGTATTATCTATGTATGATACATTGTCATGGGATGTTAAGTTCGTTTAAAAGCCCCTCATCATCATTTGGAGGACATGTTTTTCAACAGACATTCTGCATTCTTACGGAAATAAACTGTGCCCCTCTACTTGTTACAATAATATAATGAGTCAGACTTAATTTATAAGCTTTTGAAGAAAAATGAAGAAACAAATAAATTGACTAGACTTTGTAAGATGTAACACTACAAAATGGGGCCTGGTAAAAAAACTGCAAAGTAGTACATATTTAAAACAAAATAGTTCCTACGCAAATGTGTAAATGTAAAACTATGTGGAAAATATTTAAGTAAATAAGATTTCAGATGAAAGTTGAAGGAAGTCATCTTTGTTGTTCACCTTCAGTAAAATGGAGTTTCTTTTTCTTTTCAGGGATCCTTTCCAAGAACAGAATTTAGTTTTAAAGTTTACCTACCAGCTACAAAACAGATAGAAGATAGCAAGATTGGAGACTGACATGTGTATCATAAACAATTGATTAGATTCGGGTGGGCTCATCTTTTATTATGGAAAAAACATCAGACCCTCATCTTGTGTTATTTTATCATGCCATATTTATTCTATTTTAGTTCAAATATCCTGTGCAATAATTTTTTTTGGTTCACCTTTCTTAAAAGTCACATGTACCTTTGGCATTGATTAAAGTTATTTTAAGTTCTATTGAAACACTGTAAAAAGTCATAAAAAATAACAGGTTTATATTTGAGAAAAAAAATTATTTTAAAAAATTAATTACTATATTCAGATGAATTCAAGAGCTGTTAACCAATTTTTATACGGTAAATCATTGGCAATTCTTCCATCCATCTGTCATTTTTTGTCAGTATAAATTTGCTATAATCAGTTCTCATGTTATCTTAGCACTACATAACATTAGGATTGACATTTGAAATTTTTCTTAAAATGTTTGGGACATTAACCAGTTGAATTAATAAGGCAGTTTTTCACATATCTGCCACTAACTCTTAGTATGCCTGGCTTGATCTCTTGAAAATATTACTGTGACAATTTAGTTGAAATTAATAAAAGAGTGCTCCCTTTCGATTTTTTATGCCTCACCTACGATAGTAGAGGGGCATTATGCTTTCTGGTCTGTGTGCCGTTCGTCTGTTTGTTCGTTAGTTTGTGCGTCTGTCCCGCTTCAGGTTAAAGTTTTTTGTCAATGTAGTTTTTGATGAAGTTGAAGTCCAATCAACTGGAAATTTGTACACTTGTTCCCTATATATATATGATATGATCTTTCTAATGTAATTGCCAAATTATTTTTATGACCCCAATTTCACTGTCCACTGAACATAGAAAATGATAGTGCAAGGTTCAGGTTAAAGATTTTTATTAAAGTTTTTGGTCAAGGTAGGTTTTGATGAACTTGAAGTCCAATCAACTTGAAACTTAGTGCAAATGTTCCCTGTGATAGGATATTTTTAATTTAAAGGCCAAATTAGATTTTTGACCCCAATTTCATGGTCCACTGAACACAGAAAATAATAGTGCGAGTTGCATCTGTGTACTATGGACACATTCTTGCTTTATCCAGCAAGCCATGCTGGATCTATGTGATCACTCTTGAATTTGAGATGGTGCAGAATTCTGATTTGAAGACATCATGAAACTAATGATCTGTTTTATGGCAGTTGTTATCTTATAGTTCGTTTCTGTGTGTGTTGCATTGTCGTTTGTGTTTTGTTCACTTCAATGTTTCTGTTGTTTTGTTGTTTTCCTCTTATAGTTTATGTGTTTCCCTCTGTTTCAGTTTGTAACCCGGATTTGTTTTCTCTCAATCGATTTATTACTTTTTAACAGCGGTATACTACTGTTGCCTTTATTTATGACTAGCAAAAAGGTTATACACAGTTTCTACAAACTTAATAACCAAACTGAATACATATCTTAATACACAATTACCTGAATTATAAAGTTTTAATTACTATTTAACATATATTATTTCAGTAAACTATGTGACAAAGATAAATGAGTAAGGATATAAATAAGAAGGTGATTTAAGTTTAAAAGACCCGAAAAAATATATATAAGCAAAATGGAAGCATGGTCTATTTTCTATTTAAATCAACGTCATAATCTTGATATGTCAGTTAATAACTTAGATTAATTTAAGTAATTTGTTTGAAACAATAAACAAAATTGCATAAATCAAACTCAGACATGAGCATTTTCTGCAGTACATTTATTTGTTTATTTCCCATTGCATTTTTAGGTTAGTTTTTGATAAATTATGTTTTGAATATAAACTATTTATTTAAAGGGAGTATAATAATATATTTAGGATATTCCTTCAGTATTATGAAGATTTTGGAAAAATGATTGAAATGACCATCTCTGAGATTTTTTATTTGAGATTTTCATTTAGGCAACAACAAATTATTTTGACTTCTTGAAAATTATTAATATTTGTCCAGTGAAAGGAGATAGTGCAGAATGAATAAGTCTGAAATACAAAGTGGTGCAAAAGGTAACAGTAGTAGTAACCTATTGTTATTCTATTTCAATTTACAAAAGATGAAAAAGTGGGAATTGCATGAGCTCCAAAAGGAGGTTGATCAACAGAGTAAGCATCTCTTGCAAAGTCAGAATAAGGAATATTACACATCAGTTATTTAAAGGATCAGAAAATAGTTCATTTGTGATATCACTATGACGTCAAAAACAACTCGAATATCACTATAATGTCAAAACACGTTGAAATTGACATTTGACCAAAAATGATCGGCAATTTTGCATATAGCATTGGTCCATGCCAAAATTGATATCAGCATGGCTTTACCAAAAAATTTGTAAGGGTTCCGCGGAACCCAGTGTCTCACCTACTTTATGAAGCTAATAAATGTTTTAGGAACTTTAACTGCAGATTGTATGTAATGTAAACTGGAAGAAAACTATGTACATAATTAAGTAACATACGGAAAAACAGGAAATATAAATTTACTTCTAGAAACTAGCTTTTGATCATAAACAAGCTTCTGTCCAAGTTTGGTAGAAATCCAGGATAGTTAAAGAAAGTTATTAAAATTTAATAAAAACTTTAACCACCGAGTGAATGTTATATGTGAACTGGCAGAAAAACTAAGTTCATTTATAAGAAAAATAGGAAAAAAAGGATTTTTTACAAAATTTACTTCTGGATACCATCTTTTGATCATAAACAAGCTTTTGTCCTAGTTTGGTAGAAATCCAGTATAGTTTAAGAAAGTTATTAAAATTTTTAAAACTTTACCCACAGAGTGAATGTAATGTTAACTGGTAGAAAAACTTAGTCCATTTATAAGTAAAATACGGATAAACAGGATTTTTATTTTTACAAAATTTATTTCTGGAATCTATCTTATGGTCATAAACAAGCTTCTGTCCAAGTTTGGTAGAAATCCAGGATAGTTTAAGAAAGTTATTAAGATTTCAAAACTTTAACCACAGAGTGAATTTTTGTGGACGCCGACGACGGAATGTAGGATCGCTATGTCTTGCTTTTTCGACAAATGTCGAAGGCTCGACAAAAATCAAACGGATACTTTAAACACATGGATATATTTATAAAATACATTTTGTAGCAAAATATGCTTTATGGTAACTCCTTTGCTCCATTATCAATTACAAGATGTCAAAATTAGGTTATTTGACCGGTCTTGCAGTTCTGAAGCCTTAATGTCTGTCACAGTAGTATTTGATTAACATGTGAAGACTGCTTTATTTTGTAGATTTCTAATACAATTTGATTTCGAATTTACGGAGCCAAACATGGCCTTATGATAAGTTTTCATTTCAATTTACTTTTGTCAGCATTTCTTTTTGGCATATGTGAATCAATCTACGGAAATAATGAACAGCTCCATCTTAAATATGATTACATAGAATTGCATAGCTGCTCTTTCAGTCCTGCAAAGGGTACACATCAGAAGTACATTGTTGATTTATAGGTGCATTAATCACACAGGCGAAATGTTACATTCAGACAAATGCAATTGATGAACAATGCAAAATGTTTGTAGCTTGTAGTATCAGGAATTAAGAACATTTAACATAGATTTTGTACCAATTTTAATGCACGAAATGCCCATTCTGACAATGTTTTTTCAAAGATAACATACTTATATTTGAAAAATAGTCTAATCTAAAACAGAATATTCAATTTGACTTAAATGTCTAGGAAATAACCTGTTTTTTCTCCCAATCTGCAACTAAATGTGGAACAAGCTGTTTGATTCTGTTAGTTAAAATTTGTATGTAATACTCCACCTAATGGAACATTTTAAATTAATAGTTGCTCTTTGAAGTGCTTATCTTCAGCTATAAACCCAAAGAATAAACCAGACGAATTACTAATAGATATAAGTAGATGTGGTATGAGTGCCAATGAGACAATTCTCCATCCAAGTCACAATTTGTAAAAGTAAACCATTATAGGTCAAAGTTTGACCTTCAACACAGAGCATCGGTTCACACCGAACAGCAAGCTATTAAGGACCCCCAAAATAAAACCATTCAAACAGGAAAACCAACAGTATAATCTATATAAAAGACGAGAAACACTTATGAACCACATCAACAAATAACAATCACTGAACATCAGGTTCCCGACGTAGGACAGATGCAAATAAACTCGTCATAGATACCAGGAATAAATTTTGTTTTTACGCCAGACGCGCGAAACGAACTACAAAAGACTCCAGTGACGCTCGAATCCAAACAATGCAGCGGTTTTAAACGTTTTAATATGCGCCAACCGTCGTTCTTACCTGAAACAATAGTGTTATATCACGACATAGAAAGACAATATAAATATCAATTGAAATGGCTTAACTTAATCAAAAGACAAACAAACAAAAACAAGTGAATACACTGAACGAATAAATTTGATATACGACACAATGTTAATACAAAATCAAAAACAAGGGGGTTAGATGAAAGACAACCTCAAACTTCGACAAAATGCTGCCAAATGAAATAACGTTCACAGGTAAATAAATATAATTTTGTTGTAAGATATACATGGAGTACGGAAATATTTTTTAAGAAATAAATGATTTTGTTCATAGTACATTCGCATATTTATATATGACGTTCAGACATTGTTGACATGATAATGAAATTGTATGCGACTGTTAATACAATTGAGAGGTTTACCTAGCTATAAAACCAGGTTTTAGCCACCTTTTTCTACATAAGAAAGTGCCGGTACCAAGTCGGGAATTTGACAGTTGTTATCCATTCGTTTGATGCGTTTTAGCTGATTTTGCCATATGTTAAAGGCCTTCCCGTTTTGAATTTTACTCGGAGTTCGGGTTTTTTTTTATTTTACTTTTCGCAAGCAAGTAGTGTGTATTCCGGTGGTTGTTGTTAAGCTGCCATGTTTCATGATTGCATTTCGTTTTATGTTATTGATTTAGATAAAGCCGTATATGTTCCCTCTGTTTTTCGTTTGATGATCCTTCAACTATTTTATAGGTACACACTTAGTTTTGCTCATTAAAGACTTTAATATGTTTGTTATTAAATTCTTTCCCTTTGTTATAATGG